GCGCCGCAGCTCCTCTCGCGTGACGTCATGAAACAGCGGCATCTGCAGGAGATATATGGTACTAATCTACGCACCGCGTTTGAATCCGAAAATTCACCGCAAATGATTTGCGCGTGATCTCGCGACGTCCAATCAAATGCACGCACGCGCGCGCACACACACACACACACACGCACACACACACACACACACGCAATCACACACACGCAATCACACACACACGCGCGCGCGCACACACACACACACACACGCGCGCGCGCACACACACACACACACACACACACACACACACACACACGGGTCTTGGCGTGCGGGCATGCGTACGCGCGCGCGTGTATGTGCGTGTGTGTGTAATGTTTCCGTGCGTGCATGCGTGTGTTCGTGCGTGCGGGCATGCGTACGCATGCGCGCGCGCGTGGGTGCGTGGGTGCGTGTGGGTGTGTGGTCACATGATGTAGCGGGTGCTCTGGTTGCAGACTAGAAGTCTGAGCGAGTTCAGGGAATTCACCGCCGATGTTTTTCCAAACGCGTAGGCGCTGATATATTAGATAAGCGATTCTTCCCCGCGCTAGGTCCAGGTATAAACCTACCAGCGCTCATCGCCCTGCGTTTGTCTGTTTCTCTCAGATCTACTGCTGTTGGTGATACGGAGCGCAGTGTACCTGTACACAGCTACCGGAGTATTGCTTAAACTAAGGCAGGGCTTCTATACAAAGCTAACTAAACACCGGTGAGTTATTGTGATTATTTATATTCTCAAACAACATTCTTTCTGTGAGGCCACGCTTTTTCGTCATCACTCACAACTTTCTCGTTTTCCTTTTCCAACTTCTGGATGTCTCTCGCTCCACGTATTTCTAAGAGTAAATACAGTAATAGTAAGTCGTGGCTATACCTCTTCTCGTCCCTTTGGCTTTAGACGACACCCTGTCACCCTGTCAACCCAAAGCGTCATCACTATCTCCGTGGTAATCTACTGCTGGATCACTTGATCCCCAACAATATTTCAGTTGTCCCAGATTTAAAGACAGACTTAGGATCATGACACGATTAGGTGCGTTAGTTATAGTTAGTTAAATCCTTCCCCCGCCTATATGGCGCATAGGGCGGTGCCTACCTCTAGTACTATAGCCCGCGTACAGTTGCCATAGGCCTGCGGCAACTGTACGCGGGCTATGGTACTAGAGCTAGGCGGTGCCTATCTTCGTTTCAGTAACACGTAGACCCCGCAGCTGCTTTCACAGTAAATACTACAGTAAGGGGTTGTTCCACTGGTAGCACTGCGAGTTAGCTTGCCACGCTCTATCTCTCTTTGTTGAATGCTAAGTAGTGAGCTTTTATAGTTGCTTTTATCGCTGTTTAAAGAGTTTATCTTTAGTTATAGGTGGTACATAAATCATAAGCATAATTTAATCTCGTACCTCAACCCTAACGGCCTAACTCTAATTTAAATTTAACAGAATCTCATAGCCAAGCCTGACCGAGTAGCTAGCATAATCCCAACCTAATCTTTAAACCCTGCATTAAATTCCCGGATGCTAGAGTAGCTGGGGTTGAACATATCATCTCACTGTTGAAGTAATGGGAAGGAGAAGAGGCATTATATCTTCGCGGCATTAACAAACTGACATTCTATCGTCAGATGTTTACAAGTTCTATCTCTCACACACTCAACCACTATGTGGAGCCGCTGACTGTTTGCTGTATGTTGTATAGATGCCGCTGTTTCATGACATCAGTGAAGGCGAGTTGAGGAGAGGCGACCACATTTACGTGAGGCGGTTCGTAATAATAGTCTACTTACACCATGGCATCTGGGACGGCAGTAGAGTAATCCACTTCAGTGGCGCAAATGCTGGCAAAAAATCCAAAGCGACAATACGCAGAGATACCCTCGACGTATTCCTAGATGGTGGCAATCTTAAGATCTACCTTTACGGTATGAGCAGGTGGAATACATGGTACGAGTTGTACCACCCGACGTCTACAAGGGAGAAGAGCGCCCCGCCGGATACGGTGATGGAGCGAGCGGAGAGCCGGATCGGAGATGGCGGTTACAGCCTGTATACAAACAACTGCGAACATTTCGCGCTGTGGTGCAAGTTGGGAGACAGCGCCAAGAAAGTGCAAACGCAAATGGGTTGGAAATGATTTATAACGTTTTTTGTAACGTTTATATAACGTAAATGTGTAGGGTTTTTATAACGTTTCCTAAACGTTTGTAAAAACGTTTTTATTGTATTTGTAAACGTTAAACGTTAACGTGATCAGGTTACGGTCATCGTGACGTCATCATCAACGTCGGCAGGTCATCGCGCATGCGCGCCGGCAAGCGGACTGCCGCGTATTCTTCTCTCATCGCTAGTAACTTGACCACTAAACTATAACAATATAT